GATTTTTTAATCTAAAGGTTCCCGAGTTCGAAATTGTTTTTTTTTTAAATGAATGAGAAAACGGCTCTACTGATTTTCTTTAAATTTACCAAAAATAATTTTAATTTTTTACTTTCCAGTTATCAGTAAGGAAAGTAAACGAATCATTCGTCTGACCATTACGTTTTGGAGTCCTGCGAATCCGTTTTGGGCAGTTTTCGCGGTAATGTTTAATGTTTTGGATAAAGAGAAATATGCCACATTTTAAATATAAATTTTAATCCAATTTGCAAAGAGCTAATTTGATTTTGGGCTCGATTTTTTTACTATTTTTACTATTTCTGTTATTTGGAGAAAATCATCGAATTAAAGTTGTTTGTGATGTATTTCTCTATTATTTTTGTTGTATACATATCTTTAAAATGAAATCGAGAAATAGAGGAAAAGTACAAAATTATAATTTTCTCAATATTTTTGTTGACAATAAAGATATGAATATGAATATGAAGATATTTTGAATAAAATATATATAGAAAATATTCACTTTTACTTCCAAAAACTTGTATGAGTTATGTCATCAGTTTGCAGCACTTTTGCAATTTTTTGTCTATGATATAAACAAAAACGCTATTTAACAAAAAAAAAAATCATGTTCCAGACTTTCAAAAAAGTTGCAAATCTGATATAATGTTGAAATGAATATATATGGCTTTAAGTTTGCAGCACTTTTGCAGTTTTTTTTTAGAAAGTTATGATAAATTTTAATTTTTTGCAATTATTAATATGTTCCAGAGGACCTCAGAAAAAGTTGGAAAATTAAATTTACAATTATTTCAATTTAATAAATATTCCAACAAAATTTGAAAACTTTTGTTACTAATGTGAATTGATTACCTCTAATGACTGGCCTAATAGTAGAGACAAATAGCTTACCGAGCTAAACCCGCAATTGCTGATTTCTAAGTCCCATTTCACGTGTAGAGTATTTTATAGGAAAAAGATTTTTCAGCATAATCAAGCGACAAACGATGACCAATTTTATTTTATATTTTACGATATTTTTACTACCTTTTGACCTGCTTCAGATATAATAATTTATATGATAGATTATTATTTTCGTTATTGAAACTCTCCAAAACGCGCATTTGATAATTTAATATCCACCTTATCCAATATCTAGAACCGCGCTTGTCTCGTATAGAAAACAAAATTAATCACTTCTTCAGTCGATTGAGGGAAAGTTCCTTAAAATTTAGTAGCTTGCTAAACTTTGACAGTTGTTTAGACTGTGAATAATCTGAAGTTCATATCAGAATCATAAATTTTAATGGACGTTCTTGCAATCGGCAGCTAGAGTTCTAAACCATGTTTACCTTTTATGTTTTAAATAGGTGAAGTTTAACACATTTCCGTTGTCTTTTTCAGTCCAAGGAACATAAAAAAAGCGGGGTGTTATTGAGAGTAGTAATGCATTAGCAATAATTTTTTTATGGTCAATAATAAAGAAACTGTTTGCATGTGTGGTTTTGTTTCCATGTTCCTTAGACTAAAACAGAAGTCTGAAACAGAAGACTGAAACAGAAGACTGAAACAGAAGACTGAAACAGAAGACTGAAACAGAAGACTGAAACAGAAAACTGAAACTGAAGACTGAAAAAAAAAGATTGAAACAGAAGATTGAAACAGAAGACTGAAACAGAAGATTGAAACAGAAAACTGAAACAGAAGATTGAAACAGAAGACTGAAACAGAAGATTGAAACAGAAGACTCGAAAATATTTATTTGGTGTCCATGATTTATGATTGTAAGTTTATTCAATTTAGGAAGACCTGTTTTATAGCTTGCAAACGGAATGGCTAATGTCTTATCCATGTTTATTGTAAATTTGTAATGCGAAAACCAATCAAACACATTTTTTAAATTATTTTCACAAAGTTCTTTAACTGCGTCCCAAGTTTTAGCCGAGTATAAGATTAATGTGTCATCCGCAAAGCTTATTACTTCTCCTTTTATTTCTTTTGAAACTAATAATTTATTAATATATAGGAGAAATAAAATTGGCCCGAGTATAGTACCTTGTGGGACACCATATTTTATAGGTTTATAAGAGCTTACATATTTATTTATTTTTACTGCTTGAACCCTTTCACTTAAATAACTAGAGAAAAGGTCCAAAGATTTACCTCTGACACCCACTTCCTCTAAGACCTCCAACAGCTGCATATGACATACAGTGTCGAAAGCCTTTGCCAGGTCAAGAAAAATACACATTGTGGGAACGCTTTTATCTATATTACTGTACAATATATCTGTTAGATGACACATAGCATCAGTGGTAGATAAGCCGTTTTGGAAACCATACTGCTTTGAACTTATAATATTATATTTATCAATGTATTTAGTTAGTCTATTTTTCAAAGCTTTTTCCACGATTTTTGATAAAGTGGTAACTAAGGAAATAGGTCTGTAGTTACTCATTTTATTTTTGGGTCCTTTTTTATGAACTGGGATAACCACTGATTTTTTAAGGTCAGTGGGAAAAATTCCTGTTTCAAAAATTTTATTAATTAAATGGCTAAGGGGATTTGCAATCTCATGAACTATTTCCTTAAATATCTCACTTTTTAGTTTATCATACCCTGGTGTTTTGTTTATTTTTAACGTTTTTATAATTTCTTTTACTTCATTTATATCTACAGGTTCTAAAAAGAATGACTGTATTGTGCTATTTTTTCCAGGTTTGGGCGATAGTGGAGGAATTATTTTTGAGGCCAGTTTCTCTCCTACTTTGGAGAAATACATATTAAAGCTTTCGGCCTGTTCTTCCTCGCTTATAAGAATTTCATTACTTTCAGTAAGTATTTTTTTTATACTATCTTTTTTCACTGGTACATCAATTTCCCTAACTATTTTCCACAAATTTTTATTATTATATTTAGTTTTATTTATTTTATTATTATAAAATTTCTTTTTAGTTTCTCTAATAATTCGATTTAGATTATTTCGATATTTAGTATATTTTAAAAGGGTAGTGGGGTTCTGATTATTCCTATATTCGTTAAATAACATGTTTTTAGTGGCAATTGAATTTATAATACCTTGCGTTATCCAATCTTTTCTTTTAATCTGGGTCCGTTTAATTTTTTTGACATTTGTACAAAGTGCGACACTTTGACTAAGTAGTTTAACTAGGTGATTTGTTTTTATATTTACGTCATTTAAGTTATAGAAGGGCGTCCAATCATGACTATTTAATTTTTGTTTTAGGGCACTGTAGTTTATATATTCAACCAAATTTTTGTGTTCATTTTTAAATTTACAGTTAAAATTTAATTTTAATCCTACTATAGTTGCTTTGTGATCTGTTATCATAGCATCAAATGTTAATGCTAATATATTTTCTTCTAAATTAGATATTTTGCTTTTTAAAAATACATGATCCAAACATGTTTTAATACGTGTAGGTACATTTATTAGAGAATTGAAATTAAATTCTACCATCATATCCATGTAGTCTGAGGATTCATGTGCATTTAATATATTAATGTTAATATCTCTTAAAAATACATGATTTTCAATTGTGCTACATTTTATTTGTTCCAGATATTCTCGAAGGCAATGAAGAAAATTATTCACCTCTGTGGAAGGAGGCCTGTAAATTCCAGATATTAAAAAACTTTTGTCAGACTCATTATTATATATTTTTATTTGAAGAAAGTTAAAATTACCGATAGAAACTATTTTACTTTCAAATTTTATATTATTCCTTAAATAAAGTAACAAACCATCATGACTATTTATTTGTCCCTGGTTATAAACTAAATTATAATTGTCCAAATTAAAAAAATGTATATTTTCAACTATAAACGTTTCTGTGAGTACAATACAGTCGAAAGAATAGTCTATATCTGATAAGATGACCTTCAACTCATCTAAATTTTTTCTTACACTTCTAATATTTTGCTGAAATATAGTAAAGTTCGAGTCTATGTTTTTATTAAGATATCTCTTTACCTCTTCGACTGTATGCACTTCCGTGGTATTAAATGGATTGAAATTTATATCATTGATAAATTGATACATTTTAAATTACCAAATACCTATCTATTTTATTTAAGTCTAAACGCAAAATAACCTGTAAAATAAATTATTGTCTGTTTTTGGTTTACAATAATACGATTTACCACCTTTCCACCAAAGAAAATTAAAAACTAAGAGAACTGTATTTAATTACAATGTTACGAATTAGGAATTAGTAAAAGAGACTAGGAGACTTAGGAGAACTCATTTCTTTTAAGATTTTCATGAGAAATATCATACGCCACTCGAGTTTGAAATTACCCCATATTATAACAATTATCTAAAAAATGAAAGTTGAAAATTTAAAAAAAGTATTGTTATATAGCTTTCAGCAATAAGAAAACAAAATAACAATAATTAAAAAAATCCTGATTGATTTATTTACATTATTCATTTTTTAATGCCTTTGATTTTTAATAAAAAAGTAAAAAATCAAAATTTCTGAATTTAAATTTAAAAAAACTTCGCCTACTTGTTAAACCAAAGTAACTATCGATTTGTAAACATTTGAACTATTCGGCAATAAATCATATTAGTCGAAGCGAAGCAAAAAAGTTCGGAATTTTTTAGACTAAGACGGATCGGAATACGATTTTTTGCATTCGCTTCCCAAAATATTTTGGAAAAAATGCCCCTACTCCAGGTCGGCTGTGGGTCAATTTGAACATCATAATCGTGATCAACCTCCTCGAAATCCCATGGTAACCAGTTTTGGGCCAGTTATGACTCTTATTTACAAAGTTCTTTAATCTTCCAAAAATCGTCTCAAAAAATTTCCGGTTTGTATTAGATAAAAAGTAGGGGCATTTTTTCCAAAATTTTTTTGAAAGCCAATATAAAAAATCGCATTCCGATCCGTCTTAGTTTAAAAATTCCGAACTTTTGGCCTTTTTACTGCTTCATTGCCTCGACTATATGTACATTTAGGTAAAATACTTACATTGGAGCCACTGTCTAATTTAAATTTAACAATTTTACCTTCAACATAAATTTGTTCATACCAAGAGCTTTTTAAATTAATTGAGTCCATAGAATTAATAAATAGTAGTTCTTCTTCCTCTTCATCATGTTTATCAACTAGTCTGACACTGACTTCTTCATTTTGAAAGGTTGCAGATGTGCCTTCGCTGTTTTTCACATTTTTGGAACATGCTTTTGCAAACCATGACACACAGCACATTTTTTGTTAAGAGCAGGACATCTGTAAGGATAATGTTCGTATAGACACTTGGTACATTTTATTTTGTTTAATTTAATAGGATTTAGAACTTTGATATGTTCCTTATAGCAGAGGAGCCCACGATGCTAAATGGGGATTTACTCGAGCGTTATAGAGACCTATTGGGTTGCAAAGCTTAGATGATAAGAAGAAAAAAATTTCATATAATATATACGTTTTCATTGGTGGGGGAAGCGGCTATAGATTTTTAAATATGTAAACAAATACTGTTGCATGGACATACTCGAGCGCGTCAGATATTCATCAGAAAATGCAAAGGTTTTTTTTCCCTCGTCGGTACAATGCTGGGTTGAAATCGCAACCAGTGAACGCATGCAAAGCTGGAAGCGCCTTCGAAATTTGTGGGCCTAATTTTTTGTAGAGAGCGGATACGTCGATGAATTGGCGTGCATTGCTAACTCCAAGATCCATCCAAACTTCTACTCTTGCTTTCAGGTGTTCCATATTCGCTAACATGATGACCACTATGTCAGTATCAGAAGTTCTGATAGAAATAGTAGAAACGCGGAGAGCGAAATATAAGCATCACGCAGCTGCACGCATTAAAGTTTATCGACGAATATTTGTTATTTCAGCTTGCGGAAATTGTCAGATTATATACTTTTCGTTGTCCGTGAATTATTTCCTTCCAAATAAAAAAAAAATTAGCTACGCTCGAGAATGTCGAGATGACGTTTTTTTCTTACAACTTTGCTGCCCTCTCCTTTCTTTACGTCACTCTCAAATTGTCAGATTAGTGGAATATACACTTTTTAGCATGTAATTAACTCTAACCTAACCTACCTTAATCTGCAGATGCAATCATCTTGTGTGAAACCTGGTTAAATTCGGACTATAGTGATTCTGAATTGGGTCTTAGTGATTTTAATATTTTTCGTATGGATCGTTGCGATCTACAAGATAATCATTTACAACCTGGCGGTGGTGTACTTATTGCTGTAAGAACATTATATTCAGCCAATTCAGTTCCAGCCCAAATAAATATGGTAGAACATGTTTTTGTCCAAGTAAAAACATCCTTTTGGGATGTTGTTATATTCCTCCTTCCTCTAGTCACGAAGTATATCAAACTTTTTGTGACGGGCGTAGTTGATGTTGTACTTGAGAAGCCCGATTGTGATTTGGTGCTATGTGGTGATTTTAACATCCCTGATGTTACTTGGAAGAATGATAACTTAGGCTTAGAAGCTGAATATTCGAATAACTCACCTGCTAAAATTATAGTTAATAATTTAAGTTTTTTAAATGTTTATCAAAAAAATGTCATTGCAAATTCTAGACTAAAAATGTTAGACTTGGTATTTTCACAAATTGAAAATTTAATTATGTCTAAGGCTTTAGATCCTCTTTTTCCCTCAAGCATACATCATGAGCCTTTAGAAATTAATATAATAACCCATGACTCCCATTTAAATCACATTGCGGAAGAGTGGTATTTTGATTTTCGAAACGCAGATTTTTTCAGCATTAACAACTTTTTTGCAGACGTTGAATGGGATGAAATGTCTTTGTTAGGTGCTAATGAAGCAACTGAATTTCTTTATGACCAAATTTATACGGCACTCAATTTATTTGTACCAGTGAAAAAATGTTCATTATCCAATTTTCCTTGTTGGTTTAATGTTGAACTTAAGAAATTAGTAGCTGAAAATAAAAGAGTTCATAAGAAATACAAGCTATTCAATCAACACCACGATTATATTCTATTTAGTGATTTACGTAGGCGGTGCAAAGAACTATCTGAAGTTTGTTTCAAAGAATATAACAGAAAGATGGAAAATAATATTAACACTAATCCTAAATATTTTTGGAGCTACATAAATAACAAAAGAAAAGCCCATGATCTTCCAAAATCCATGACCTCTAATAACTCTGAGAACTTCGATGATATTGTCAGCATTGTGAATGAATTCGCCAAGTTCTTTTCATCCGTTTTTTCTACCGACAATGTACAAAATTTACCTTCAAATAATTTTAAGAATACTGTGAATATATCAAACTATCAAATTAATGTAATCGACATTATGGAAAAAATTAACAGTCTACCATCGAAATTTTCCCATGGTCCAGATGGGATTCCAACTTATTTTTTAAAAAAGTGCATTTATACTTTGGCTAATCCTCTAAAAATCGTTTTTAACATATCCCTTAAATCAGGAATCTTTCCAAATTTCTGGAAGCATAGTTTTTTGAAACCAATTTATAAATCGGGCCCAAAAGAGAAAATTGAAAACTACCGAGCTGTTTGTATCCAGCCCGATATTCCTAAAGCATTCGATTATCTCATGAGTAAGTTCTTATCTTGGGAATGTAAAAACATCATCATTAATGAACAGCATGGTTTCTGTCCTGGTCGGTCAACAGTGACTAATCTCTTGCTTTACAACACTTACATAATTAATGCTTTAGAAAATAAGTCACAAGTTGACTCGATCTATACAGACTTCTCAAAAGCCTTTGATCGAGTAAACCATAAACTTCTTATAAACAAACTAAAAAATATTGGAATATCGGCTGTCATGCTGACATGGATTCAAAGTTATTTAACAAATCGTTTTCAAAGCGTGAAAATTGCGGGTGTTGTATCTCATGAGATTACAGTTCCTTCAGGTGTACCTCAAGGTTCTCATTGTGGACCTATTCTATTTAATCTGTTTATTAACGATATTTGTGATACATTAAAATTTAGCCAATACCTACTTTTTGCAGATGATTTTAAGTTATTCAAATCTATTAATTCACATTCTGATATAATTGAATTGCAAACAGACCTTGACTCCCTGAATATATGGTGCAATCTAAACCAAATGGATCTAAATATTAAGAAGTGCTTCTGTATATCTTTTAGCAAAATTTTGTCACCCATCATACATGACTATCAAATTAACAATCATAGTGTGTCAAGAGTTGATACCATTAAAGATTTAGGTGTCATGATGAATAGTAAATTGTCTTTTCAGGCACATATAGATATGATAACAGCAAAGGCATCAAAACTATTAGGTTTCATTTCTAGGTCATCCACGGATTTTTCTGCTTATACGTTCAAAACGATGTATTGTTCTCTAATAAAATCACAATTAGAATACTGTTCGATTATTTGGAATCCATATTACAATACTCATAAACATCAAATTGAGACTATTCAGAATAAATTCTTGAGAATATGCGCCTATAAAATGGGTTATATAAGAGGAGATTACTCATATGCTTCAATTAATTCTCAATTCAACTTAAAATCACTTCACTTTAGAAGAACAGTTTCTGATATAATTTTTATAAATAAATTGTTAACAGGGAATATTGATTCTCCCCAAGCAGTAGGTCTTATTAATTTTAATACCTTTAGTAGGACTAGACAATTCGACTTATTTAATATACCACTACATACCACTAATTATGCCTTTAATTCACCAGTAAGTCGAATGTTACGTGAATGTAATAAGTTGAAATGTACAAATTGTGATATTTTTGGAACTATTAATGCTCTCAGGACTTATTTAAATAATATGGAAGTCTAACATTTTTTTTATCTTCATTTTCTAACTGATTTTATAATTGTTATTTGATGCCGTTATATTTTATATTTTGTATAGTATTTTATATTACCTATATTAGTATTAGTTTAGTATTTTGTTAAGTATTTATTTTGCTGTTTTTATTCTAATTAATATTGTATTTTTTTTTTTAATGGGGTTACCCGTGAATAAATAAATAAATAAATAAATAAATAAACAAATAAATAAATAAATAATCTGACGCGCTCGAGAATTTCTGATAATCAATTTTTTTTACTAATCTGATCCTTTATCCTTCACGGGCGGCCTTACATATGGGGCTCATATTTGGTGGAGGTACTTAACTAGGTACAAGGTATCCCCCTGTATATTAATCTGCCGCGCTTTAGTAAATCCCGAAGTCCCCGCTTGGGCTCCCCTATTATTACTAAGTTCAATACTTTTACAATATTTTATAATATTTTGTACCGTCAACGTATGCTCTCTTAATAGCCTCAGTTGACTTTCTTGAAATCTAAATAACTTTAACAAGCAACAGGGCCGGTTACTTAACATGAAATCCTAGGCGCCAGACAATTTTGGGGCCCTTTGTTAGGCATCTATTTTATAATATTATTACTAAAGAAACTATAGAGTTACCAAGGTATTTCGTGATATATTTTAAATCAAATTTCAGTCACAGCCAAAGGAACGATACAACATTTTTTTAATACATTTTATTTGACTCTAATAATTATTAAAATGCAAACATCTGCGTTATGCAAATTAACACCGTAATTTGTAAAAAAATGATTCCTGTTAGTTCGTTATTGGTGCCAGTAGCGAGTCACGAACGCACGATATTTATTTTTTATTTATTAAATTGAAAACCAATATTAGTAGCAGAGCTGGGCAAGTACTCGAATACTTTTACTCGTATTTCGATTACGAGTAGAATAACTACTCGTAATTTTTACTTATAAGTATTTTTTATTTTAAGTACTTATTACTCGTACTTACAAGTAAATTTAAATCTACTCGTAGAATGTACTTGTAAAATACGAGTATTATTTTACGAGTAGTCGGCATTTTTTGTTCATGGCATGTTAACTGCCAGTCTCTACTATCGATCGCCAGTATCACGACACGAATGGCCTCGGTTGCTTTCGGGCTGCGGTCTCTGATTTGGTTTGGGAATATTGGGAAAAGCAATTCGTTGGGCGTTTTACGTTTTATTATTTTTGGTGTTTTGTGGTGGTGTGAATGTGTTTCCTACGAGAACGGTTAAATATTAAACGTCTAGTCTCCATACAAAATCTTCGTTAATTTGAATAAGGATAATTTCCTGACTGTAGCAGAATTTTATATAAATAAACAGTTCCTTGGTTTATTCGGTCAATAATTTTGTTTTCTATTGTAAGCACAGCACTATATATGTTTCGA